TAATGTATATATTTAAACAAAACAAATATTTTCTTCCATTTTAAATGATGATATTCAGGTTAGAAGTCTGTGATAGGAGATCTCCTACCACAGACTACTTTTTTTTTTTTAACATTAGAAATGATAGAGAGGAGCTACTTGCTGGGGATCTATACTATTTCTGTACAAGATCACAATGGATCGACCATGCAAGTATATTGGTGCCATGACTAGATGCCTGAACATGAGGATTAAGGAATATCAATATACAATTTGGAAGGGGCTTTCTATAATTGTGCTGGCTAGTTTTGCAGCTGATAATGACATTCAAGTTGAATTTGATAATGCACAATAGAAAAAGATAATGTATACCACTGTCTGTCGACATTACATAAAAATAATTTATTTTGCTAGTACTTTCGACAGTATATAACTGTCCTTTTCAGACAGAATCATTCATAGAGAACAAAACATTGAAATTCAAGAAAAAGAACCCGAACATCAACCAATGTTTTTTTAAAATTGTTTGTCCCACATGTGCATAGAAAATTTAAATTACACATATACAATTTATAAAATTATACAATAACACAAAAATACGATGATATGTAAAAGAAAAACGTCAAGAATAAAATTGGATTAAAGTAAAATACATAAATACTAATAAATTAAACAGTCAATAAATGAATAATAAATGTATAGTGATGCAATGCTGCTACAAGGTGTTTTATTGGGAGCCATGTGATTTACAACTTTAGATGATTAAACAGTGTTACCCACAACTCCAGTATATCTAGTGTGGGAGAGTTGCATGGTGACATTGAGATTTAAAGGGATTCCCATAGGAATAAAGTTTTTCTATTCACACAGCATTTTAGGAGGGAAGTTTGCAACTAAAGTGGCTCAAAGTTATTCTATCGCTTTTCTAGCTAGTTCTGTTGTACATTTGTTATGTACTACATCATCGCAGTGTTCTGCAAGATGGAGGTGGTGCATTCTAGTAGTGGTCCAATATATAATAGTTTCAACTCAGTAAGGAGATTTTGTAAGGGTATAGTGTATACACCAGACTTTTCTTGGAGTACAACCTCGTCTCTATCATTATGAAGTATCCTACATAAGGTGGGCTGGGCTGCTAGTGGCAAAATATAGCCAAATTTCTTGAAAACTCGACAAATACATAATGAAATGGGACCCAGGTATCTACATAGGTATAACAAAATGCACATATTTTACACCACTCTGATGACCCAGCCCATCTCAAATATCTTCAACATATATTCAAGGTCTTTAAAAGGGATACAGCAATTAATTATAAAGAAATGGAGTCTATTTCAACTGCATGGTGAACATTTTGTAACCTCACATAAGTTTTAGTACTAATATATATGTTTTATTTATTATATATTGTAACATCTTTTATATTTTAAATTTGTTATATGTTATAATATATGCATTGAAACACGTTAATGCTGCACTATACATGTGTGTTTCATGATGATTTCAATTTTTAAATTTGTAGTTGTGTTCTATTTTTAGAATACATATTTGTTTCTATCTGTGTTTCTTCTAACCTGAAGATAACCATTTAAGATGGAAGAAAACATTTGTTTTGTTTAAATATATACATTATTTGCTGTTTTTTTTTGGGGGGGAGTTTAGGTATATTTATTATCAAAAGCAATTTATTATTATCTGTTCAATACACATTATGAATACCAAGTACTGTACATGATATCCATTCTTTTCTCAAAAATACAGTGATGTTTTGTTAACCTAGCATCATCAGGACTGACTTGGTGCTGGATTATTAAATATGCCACCTTATTGAACAGTGGAAATTTTTCCAGTTTCTTCAATCTCCTGAACACAGTTTTACATATCTTTGCATGTAAACCTGTACAAATCTGCCTGTATGAGTGTTTTAACATACCATTTCAGTTTTTCCAGGATATTCCTACCCTTAGTTGGCTTGAAACAAGAACACCATTCTTACTTTGTGTTTTGTACACTTTTATTGCATATAAATACAGACTAACTCTAATTATCAAAGTACATGAACAGCAATGTACTTTAGCTGTTTTCCTGATAATTGTTGATTCTAAGTGTGCTAAATATTTCTGCTTCTCATATGAAATCCATGCACTAAAGTTGTAGAAAAATCATGCATTATCTACCTAGCACAGCATCATGTTGTATTGGCATTTGTTATCTCTAAAAGGAGGACTCACACCTCTTTCCCAGAATCACATTTTGAGCACTTTTACATGAAAAAGTGCTCAAACCCAACAATGAGCTCGACATGCTGGCTTATCAGGTTTTCCAACATACCAGATGCCAAGTTAATGAAATTTCACTATAATGGGTTTGCACATTGCTGGTGTCTAACCAGTAAAAAATAAAAAAATAAGAGGAAAATTATGTATATAAAATCTGTAAATAATAATAATTGAAAAAGCCATATACTATGAATTATTAAATTTATTACTTAAATATCTTTGAATCTATGCTATTTGTCATCACTAGAAATTAATGTTTTCACTTAAATTTATCATTGGAGGAAGATGTCATTCTTCTGATAAATTTTTTTGAAAATATTTTATTTCAGATCTGCTGATGTACAAAGGTGTGAGTACAAGTTCTGGGACCAAGTTTATAACAATATTTTAATATTTTTTGATTTTCTTTTTGAAATATTTTAATAATTTTTAAAAATTTTAAAAAGTGCTTTTATTGGTTATGTTTTTTGAGTATAAGATAGGGGAGGTCTCACCATATACATCACTACCATATGTTTACATATGCACATCATGATTAAATTCTACATTTGGTTATGTTCATGGGATTTTGAAGGATGTGGAGAATATTGAGGGTCAGCCACTCCCTAAAACATCTTAAAAATGTATTGACATTGGATAGATATGTTTTTGAAGGTTTAGCCTTTTATCTTAATTAGAAATGGATGAAATTTGAGTTGCAAGATTTGAAGGCATATAAAGCAAGCTAAATAAATGTTTAAAAAAAATTTATACATCACTTTTTGGTGTAGAAATGATTTAATTTAGCATCAGTCTTCAAAGCACATTTCTCCATCATCTATATATAAATTTTTACAAGCTCTAATGTATGCATTATTGAAAGGATCTTTTTGGAATGCTGATTAGTTCCTTCCATACAGCCTCTTGGATTTCTGAAATTGATTAAATTGTTTCCTTTCATAGCAAATTTTAATTTGGGGAACAGGAAATTGTCAGTTGGGGTTCACCAGACTATTGGGGACTCCTGTGTATTATTTCTTTTCATTACACTAAATTCTTGACATTGCAAATATAGATTTAACAATTTTAAAACATACAGTATAGTTTAAGTTTAAATTAGTATGAAAGTTGAAGACTGAAATTGTCGGTTTACAAATCATTTTAATTTTAAAATATTTTTAGGTATATTATTGGTTGGTTTGTTTAATAAATTATATTGTTGTTATATAAATTTAATATTCATAGGGCTTTGGTCAAGCAGAATTGTTCAGCTGGGTTCCACTTTGTTGAGCTCTGGTGATGTCCTTAGCTTTACTTCAGTGGTTTACTGTCTTTTTTAAAGAGATTAGACTTAATGTAAACCACACTCCATATACCAAATGTTATTACTAATAAAAACACCAAACCATACCTAATCTAGTAGAGAATGAAAATTTTAATGACAAACTAACATTTTCAACCTTATTCAAAGGCCATCATCTCATTGCCAGGTTCTGAATATAGAACATAAATTAGAATAGAACACAAAATTCAAAGTAAATAGATAAACGTGATGTCACATGTGCCAGCATTAAAATATAAAATCAAATACAAACTGGGTTTGAAGAAACGGTAAATACAAAATATGAATTTACTTTGAGAATTTGAACTGATTTCATAAATTTTATCTAGGCCTATTCTAAAAGTCAGTTCTTAATAAAGACATTCCGTAAATGTTTAAAGTACATATTTTATTAAAAGTGTTTTTGTAAATTAAGACAATTAGTCAGTTTGTTAGTGTTGTAATTAAAATTGACTAATTAGTTATCATATGAATTCTCTCTTTCAGTTTTATTTTAAAAAATATTTGAATTCAAATAACAATACCATTTTTAAAAATGAAAAATTTATTAAATTATTTTAATTATTTGTTCATACATGAAAGAATTTTTAACAGACATAGATATTATCTTACTTACATGACATTGTCTCAATAAATTATATTGTTGTTATATTTTTATTTTCAAAATTCTGTAGTTTTTTATATTTTTAGAGAAATTTAAAATGTTTTCTTTTGAATTTACTATACTAGAATGTTTCATTTTTTTAAAAATATGTTTTAATATGGTTCTTAAGATGTAGTAGTAAATTCTGAAAATGTTAAAGATTTAATTAATAATTTGATAAATTTTAGTATATTGATTTAATTAAGAAGTATTCCAAAATAATAAGTTTAAGAATAAATGTTTTCTTAAAATTTAAAAAATAAATAAAAATGGAAGACTGACAAAAATGTATTATATATTCATTTTGCTATCTTTTGTTAATGTATTAAAGTTTTTAATACAGTAATAAAAGCATATAAGGCATTTATACATATTTTAAAAAATTCAGAGAATATTTTCAGTCTGACCAAAATTAAAATTAATAAAGTAATTTATAATTTTTATTAGGCCAGATTAGTTTGGTTTAATTAGATAAAGAAACATAATATAGGAAAATATATATCTAGACAAAGTAAATTGTTTTTCAATTTAAAAGTATTTGTGTATAAAAATGTCTATGGAATTTGTTCAAAAATTTATAATTTATAATTTGATAGAATTTTAAAACTTTAATGAAAAGTTATGATTAAATATGAAAGTCTTATTACAGCAAATGAATGAATAAATTAAAGCAGTTTAATTATTATATTTTATGAAATAGAATAGTGATATTTTAGATTTAAAACTTAATTTATAATGTCATTATTTTAAATTAAGTCCTTTTTATTTTATTATTTAGTTCTTCACAATGTCTGCACAATACAGGCCTTATAGAGATGAAGAAGGATTAGAAGGTGATAATATAAATTGGTCTGATCAAGAACCGGGAACAGTTCAGATATATGAAAAAACAAGAGATGAAACTTGTTCTGTTTCGTCACGCACATTAATAATTGGAGGAATTGGAATAGGATTGCTTGGTGCCCTAATGGGATTATTAATTGGTTACTTTGCTCATTATGAACATAGTAGTTGTGTTCCAAGTCTTGCAGTTGCTCTTAATTCTGTAAGAGACGAAGATGTGACAATACGAAGTAAAATTATGAATCTAGTAGATTCTGAGAGAATAAAAGAAAATGTCAGGTAATATTTTTATTAATAATAAAAAGAATTAAACTAAATTTTTTAATAAATTATGCATTTATAGTATTTCATTCAATATATGCTATATCTTTAAATAAGTCAGTCAATAAAACATTTTTAAGACAAATTAAAAAACATAAGTCACCTTGAAAAATGCAACCAAGTGTTTTTCTGATAAGGCATATAGTCTTATGGCTTTCAATATGATATAGACATAAGTTGTCTCAAAAAACATTTTATTGGGGTAAAAAGCTGGCTTCTTTAAAGGTGTAACATGTGCTGAATGAAGTAAATATGAAGTATAATATGGGGTCACTCATAAGTAAAAACAGAGAAATTTACAGTATTTTTTAATGATAGTAATAATATATTTGAATTAAAACAAAAGATTTTTCTGAGAGTTTAGTGTTTGTAAGAAAAATTTTATATTTAAATATAATTAAGTTTAATCGGTTAAAATGTAAATTGCTAATAATAGAACAGTAGTAATTACATTTATGATTTTAGTAATTGAATGAAAATTTAATTACTAAAACATAAAAATTTAATATCCACTTAGTTAAGCTATGTTAATGTAACCATAATAATTTACAGTTTAGAGTATAATTAATGACTTTTTGAGATGATAATTACCAGACAATCATTGAGGTTTTATGTAAACATTGGAAACTCATATTAAACACAAAGTAAATTACAAAATTTAATACATTTTCTATCTAGTGAAGTAGTGAATACATATATGATGATTTACATTTATGTATTAATTTATATATATATATATATATATCATATATACAGGGTGGTTATAATTAAAGTTGCACTACTCAGACCTATCTAGAGCCCATTCTCGTGGATGTATTTTGATGAAACTTGATCCATATAACATATATACCAAATTTTATCAAAATACATGTACGAGAACGGGTAGCACAACTTTAATTATAACCACCCTATATATAGGTTTTTGCTATTAATTTATGCAAAATTACTAACTGTAATTTATAAAATGAATTTATTTCAGATTTTTGTAAAATAAGTAGGAGACAATGAAAACATTGAACAGATTTAATATTTGTTGCTTGTAATCTGCCTGATTATTATGGTTGATGGCTGATTGTGTATTAAATTAAAATAAACTTTGGTAATGGTAGATGTCATTTATAACATAAATGATTATCCTATTGAAAATTAAATATATTCTTTGTGGTTGTGGAAAAAAGTACTTTGATCTAACTATGAATAAGCAAATTTTGACTGACTATCAAATGATTAATTATATATTAAAATGGCATGTCACTTATAAATTAAAATGAGTACAGTAGAGCGTCGTTTATCCGAATCAATTGGGGACTGGGGTGGTTCGGATAACTTATTTTTCGGATAACGAATCATGTACGAAAAAATATATTAATTTATCCCATGTTGAAATTTCTCTCCGTTGCGTGTCGCTTCGCGTTGAATTTTCGTCGATGTTAAGCCTAACGAAGACTATTGTATCGTTAAAAATTATTTTTTTATTTTGTACAAACAAAATAAATTTATTGAAAAATATAAAAACAATAAAAAATTATACTTCAGATGTTAATTTAGTATCAAAAACGTAAAATATTTGAGTAGCCGAAGACATAGCCAAAGATTGCAGCGCCACAGCACTAGCGAAAATTTAAATTTGCCGACTGGAATGCTTTCGGATAAACGACGCTCTACTGTATATAATAATATTTTAGTATAAATGAGTTCATATGTATTGAACTTAAATACAAATGTTTTATTACATATATAATTCTATTTTTCTTTTTTTTTTCCTTTTTTTTTTTTATTTTGAAATTGTTATCTCTTTTATATGATTTTGACTACAGATTTAAAATAATAATTCATTTATTTACTTAGCTAAACCAAAGATTTTGATGAATGACAAGAAATATCAATTGTCTATTGTAGCATATACTAATTCTCAGTATTAATACTCAAATGCTGGTTCAGAGTTTTGAGTATTTCTTTTTGTTTCATATTGAGTAATTCTGTTTAATTTTATTTATCTAAGGAAAAAATACTGATTGAAAAAAGAAGCTTGCTACATGGACAGACATCAGTGGCGTGCAGTTATTGGAAGCGGTGGATGCGCCACTTCCCTTGTATTTTCTAAAAAATAAATACATATTAATTTTAATTATATGAAAATAATCGCACAATATTTTATTATAACCACATTATATATCTTATTACAAATTTCTATACTACATGTGAAAAAAAGATAAGATTGCTATTGTATATTNTTTGAAATTCTATTTAATCAAATTTGGCAATTATTTATGCAGGTGTAATAATTTGCAAGCACATTACTGACAGCATCATTTTTTAATAATAATTATCTGTTTTTTTTTAATTATAAAAAATATAGGCTATATATTAAGTAATATAAAGTTTTTTAAAATATATGTATTTGTTTATATTTGACTTAGAGTGCTGGATACATTTTTAATGAATGCTGTTTTCACAAAACATACATATTGAAAACTGAAATATATTTTATTATGATGTTATACTTAATGGCAAACAAGATTGTAAACACATTTTGAATATATGCATTCTCTTTTGGGGCAGCAGAAAAATACATGTTCCCTGACATAACTGTGTACACATTTGACAAATGTGCAAAAATAATTCAAATGAAGTAGATATAAATACCTTGAATGTGTGTTGTATTTCCATAGAAGTAGTAACAGTAATCTACTTAAGTGGTTGGAGATGTATTCTAAAGACAATTATTGAAAGGGTGAAGGAACTATTTCAGAAGAATGGGATTTGCCAAATTACTTATACAATGGATATGCCAGTGAGTTCAGTGTATTGGCTAGTACATTGTACTGTACTATACATAATGATTACAACAAACAAAAACAAACAAGGAGTGAAAAAGGTTAACACAAAAGCATAAAACAAGAATCAAGAAAGAAGTTTGCTGGATTAATAGACAAAATGAATGAGCAATTTCACATAAGATCAAAGAAAACTATGATCTGGATGTGTCAACATAAACTGTGCATTGTACTCTCTGCTAGGAAGGATTTGTATATTGTTGTGTACAACTACTCTTAACTCGCTAACATGAAGAAATGCAACTTGCTAAAGCAATGGCATGACTGAGTGAGGCACATGTTTCTATCATCCAGCAGTGGCTTGCAGTCCATGGAAGCTGTGGAAGCACCATTTTTCTTGTATTTTATAAAATATAAATACATGTGTGATTATTTTCATATTTTAATGTACTTTGAATTAATTAAAATTAATATTTTATTATAAGTGCATTATGTATCTTGTTACAAATTTCTATATTACATGTGAAAAACAATGATAAGATTGCTATTGTATATTTGAATATAAATTTGTATATGCATATTTCCAATGGAAGTGCTGTATTGTCGAATATGGGATAGCTTCCATGGCAAAAATATTTGAATCATGTAAAGCAGCCAGATTACATGCATTCGTGCATGTGCTTTACAGAACATCAACGTCACGTGGTTTAGCTTATAGATGCTACACATCAAAATATTGTATAACACTTCCAATGATTCTATCCATTAGCCACTTGTAGGGAGCTATTTGACTAAGTGGATTGTTTTAAGATTTAAAAAGTAAAGAATATTTTGTTATTTTTATGTATGTTTTTTTACAAAGCTATATTTAATTATAATTTTCTTTAAAAGTATATTCATACAATTGAAGACTATTTTGTACCAGGTATGTACTGGTACATCCACCACACATTTTATTTCACCGAGTAAGTTTTTATTATTTTATTTTTAATTGTAGCCCTTATATCATGGCTAGCAATTTGGAATGTAATTATGATATTAGAAATGCATTTAGAGAAGTCTACTGTTTTTACTGGCTTATCAAATAAACGATACGAATGGACCCTAGACCATCACTGATGTGCAATTGACCAATTGCCTCTGGATGTCAGCTTCTTACATAAACACAGCTTCCCTATCATCAAATGTCACAGCACGCCACTGACAGACATTAAAGAGTTATAGCCTGTTCCAGCAACAAGATTTTATTTATCAAAAGTTTTCGACTATCTTAGTAGCCATCATCAGGATCGAATAGTAGAATTCTTTTAAGAAAAATTCCTTAAAGAATTCTATTAGTCATTTTAAATTCATACAGTTACATTTGGTTGTCAAAATTCACTTTGTAGTAATGAAAAGAAAAAAATAAAAAAGAGTTCATTGTTTGTTAGGAAGACAATTACAGTATCACATCACGTCTTAACTGTCAAAGTTCTTTGAAATGACATTGTTATGTATATAAGGGATAATTACCAGAAATTTATAAGCTTTCAAGATACGAATTTAAATAGTAGTGTCTAATGAAATGAATTGTAGTGTGGACTGAATATACAGAAAATGAATAAGAGAGGATGAAAGATGAAGTATGCATATATGCATCTTCAGTTTAAGTTTAATGAAAAAAAATTACAAAGGTAGATGAATATGTCTGTGGCTAACAGAGGATTTTTCACATTTTCAAACAACACTAATAGTGGTTTTAAACAAAGGAAAAGTTGACGAGTTTGTAATTGAACATAAATTTGTCATATATGCAGCCTCATTGCACATTCTTTCATTACCCACTTTCTTTCAAAGTGCTTTTCAAACACAAATAATCTGAAAGTTATACAAACAAAATATGGTATTTATTTTAGGTAGTTATCAATTTAAATGTTTGTATTTTAACTTTACAGGACGTTCAGCTCTCATCCACATATTGCTGGTTCAGCTTCTGATTATGATTTAGCCGTAGTTGTAAAAAATAAATTTCAAGATAATGGATTGGATAAAATTGTTACTTATGATTATAAAACACTTTTGTCATATCCAAATTGTGACAATCCAAACAAAATTTCAGTTGTTGATAGCGACGAAAAAGATATGCATATAATCCAACATACACAATGTACAGAAGGAATTGCACCTTATAATGCCTATGCACCTCAAGGAAAAGTCGTGGTAAATAATTTTACATAATTTTGAGTTTTGAATTTGTGTTTTCACTTATGTAAATTACTTTAGAGAATTGCATATTTAGATTATTAATTAGCAGAATTGAAAGATCTGAAAATTTAAATAATTGTTTTACTTTAAATTCATTACCGTATATCTCAGCAGATAAGACGAAGTATAAATTTTCATCAAAGTTTTATAGTTTTAGCATATATCTGTCCTATAAGATGACCCCAAACTATCAACGGCCTATGAATCAGTGATCGTCATCTGAATAATAATAATAATAATACTGTATATCATATATGGAATTATGCCCTATTTGTAATTTTTTGAATGAACAAATTTTATTTTTTTGCATCTGGCAGCACTGCCTTGCGATTGTTGCAAACATTGGCACTGATTTGGCATTTGGGTAATGACCTTGACTATTCACAAAAATATCATATGGGCTATTCTATTTTGTGCACATACCCTACTCTCTTCTAGTAAATAATTATGGTTTGTCTGTCTTTTTATAATGTTTTAATTTATATAAATTTCAATCTAATTTTTTTTGTATCTGTCCTATAAGATGACCCTGGATTTTGGAGGTTTTTTTTTTATGATTCAACTATCGTCTTATATGCTGGGATATATGGTATATTTTAATTAGCTTCTAATGGATATAAAAATTTGCTTTAATATGGATATTTAAATAATTATCATTTCATGTGTTTTATATATTTCATATATTTATTAAACTATAATAATTATACAGTTAAATTTTAATGAATTATAAATATTATTTATAGGGTGATTTAGTCTATGTGAATTATGGTAAACCATCAGATATGCATTATTTAAAGGAAATTGAAATTGATCTTAAAGGAAAAATTTTACTCGCTAAACATTATTTTCCTGCAAAACAAGTAATTTTTAAAATTTTTAAAATCAGAAATGAATGGGTAAGAAATATTAACAGTTTTAATAAGTTAAAATTTTAGGCTTGGGATGCTTATCATAGTGGAGCAGCAGGATTGATTTTATTTCCTGGTCCACATGATTACAATCCGGCTATTTTAAATGCACCTCCATATCCCAAAAGTTGGTGGCTACCTGGTGACGGAGTCATTAGAGAGAGTGTTCTTTGGAATGGCATTGGTGATCCTCAAACTATTGATTATCCTGCAATAAGTAAGTGAAGCTATAAATAATGACTTTCATAAAATTGTATTTTAAAATTGAAATGACGATTATCCTTCAGAAAAAGTTCACAGATTGCCTTCAGACTCTGTTCTTCCTCGTATACCTGTTCAACCAATCAGCTATAATGAAGCATATAAACTTTTGAGGTATTCAAATTTTATTTTACATTTCTTCTTAAACTTTACTAAAAGAAGAAAGAAAATACTATGGAATTCAATTTCTGTTTTTTTACAAGGATATTTTTTAATTGAAATTTTAATGCAATTTAATTTTATCTCATGTTTTGGTAAAATTATGCTCTCCCAAATATCTCAAATATTTTAAAATTATTTTTATAAAACTTCTTATAAAGAAAGGTTTTTATTTTTTGAGAACGAGGAGGTTTCTGTTTATAATTTGTTAATTAATTAATATGACATAACTAAATGGACTTTTGTTATTATTTAAAATTACTAAATAAAAAGTATCAAATGAAATAGAAATTTTGGGATTTATACTTGAATTTTTTGTCATTAAAATTAATTATTTATACATATATTAATCTAAGAATATTTTTTTTAGTTGGACTTCTAGATTTCTTGACAGATTTGAATGAGTAGGTGTTGATAGATAGGTAGCTGCATATGTGCAATAAGTTTTTTGTTTCCAGATTTGATATGTTCTGGAGATAGTGGGTTCCAAAGTTCTGAAATTTTCCTATCATTTTGCATAGAGAGTTGATAAACACTTTTCAACATTGAACAAACAAATTTTGCAATAATTTAGTGTCAGGTCATCAATGAATTGTCTGAGTACATAGTTTATAATGGGTTATGTGTACCCCTGATAGACATGAATTTTGCACTTTATAAGTGTTCATTGATCATTTTGTAATAACTTTTAATATAACTATTGTATCATCTATCATTGTATTGTGACTCCAAAGTTGTTTCTTATTCCTATTTTTAATCAGAAGGATATGGATTCTATTGGATTTTCCACCTTAAATGTGGTATACAAAAACATTTTGTAATCCATTTTTGTAGTTGATGTTTGGGATCTGAATATATATACATGTAGTCTGAACTACAAATAATTTTTAGTAGACATTAAATTCCAGTTTTTAATTCTAAATTAACTTTTTCTATTCAACTAGTAGCCCGGGACGCCCCCTAGTGGGCGTTGTTTACAAATTTTCATGAAGCATGGTTCCTTTGACTTTTTTGTTCCTATCAATATGCTCTACAGCTCTGTTGTAGTCCCAATGGTAAGATTAGGTTAAGAGGTGGCGACCCCCCCAAACTGTAGCCCCCTGTGCGAACAATAAAGGCAAAGGAACTATACCCCTACTCGCGACCCTTCGTGAGATATAAGCCCATGAAATAATAAATTCCTATTACAAATATACTGAATTATTTATATTGTTATATTGACCAAATAATAATTTATTGGCCAAATGAATAATAATAATTCATATTGTTAATTTAAATAAGAATTAAAATTGTTAATTTGAATGTTTGAAATATGACACACGATAGGGGCGCCTCTAGTGTTCGTTATCAAACGGTTACGGGACAAACAGACGGATACCCATTGAATGGGTTATATATATATATAGATGCCATTATCCCGTGGTCGTCTCTTAGCATTTTTTAATATTTAGAATAAAAAAAGAATTGTTTTAGCATAGTGCTACGAATTTTTGTTAAAATTTCATATTTGGAGATTAATATTATTAAAAAGCAATTTTTATATTTACTTTGTGTAAGTGTGACACACATTCAAGTGAAAGCTTTCTCTCTTGAAGTTATACAGCTAAAAATATTTAAATTAAAGCTATTTATTGTTCTATTTTCTATCTATATCTATAAATGAAAATATGTGTTTGCTTGTTTGTTTGCTATGCATTCCTAGACTGTTCAACCAATTGCTACGAAACTCAGCTGTTCCGTTAACATACAGTAATACCTGTTTTCATTGACTTTGGTTATCATCAGTTTCAGTTTTTGTTGATTTTATACGTGAAATATTTGTCTCAGTTTTCATCAGTATGCCCATATGACCTTGCTGCTAATTTTGCAAAACCATGTGTTTGTGGCATTGTTTCTCATTGTGTGAGTATTACCCCATGCGTCTAGCCAAACAATGGGTGTATTCAAAATCTCAGTGTGCAGCCAACACCTCTCAGCACCTCTGTTCAAAATCTTAGTGACTTCTGGTTGCTGCCAGCATGCTTTCAGCAGACTGCAAGCATCTTTTTTGGTGCTGGATACAGCAGCAAACAAGATGGCAGCCACCATAAGTCTCATAAGAGTTCTATTTTGTATTGACAATTTTGAATTTAATTTATTTGTTGATGAATAAATTCTGAATAAATTAATATTCAGTTAGTACATTATTATATTTTAATATACTAGTATATTTACATAAAACATCACATAATATTTTTAGTTGTTAAAGTGAAATTTTAGGATTGATTGATTTATTTATTTAAAACTCCTACCGAAATTTAAAAACACCTTCATCCCTATTTCTCTTATTGAAATATTCATTTTTCATTAAGCTGTTCTCATTAAATAAGTTCAAAAATAAATTTAACAGTAACATGGAAGTCTACATCATTTACTATTTTTATTGCTTTTCTCTCCCAAAATTCCTGGCAGTCAGTATTTGTGTTCTCTAGAAAATGCTAGCAGTTGAGTTGCGTCACTTTCGGCAGCATCTCACTGGATTGATGCTGAGATTTTGAATACACCCAATTCCATTACAAAACTCTTTGTATGCTTTTCATTTTAATGTTTGTTGTTCTCATTCTTTGCCTAGACAATGCCAGATTTATCTGCTAGTTTTATAAGTAAAAACAGCCTGATTCCTTTATTGGGCTATTAAGGCTAAATAATATGGCAGGAAGTAGGTGATTAGGCTGCTATCTCTTGTTAAATTTAATAATTATAAATAAATAAATAAGTTTAATTTAATTTTAGAATACTCTGGAAGAAAGGATTGGCCCAGAGCAGGACTTGAACTTGTAACTCCTGTTATGTCTGATATTTGCTTCTAGACTAATTAATTAACTAATTTTGATATAACCACAGTAAAGCACCTGGAAATGTATCTGCACAGAAAGTATGAGTTAGAGGTTTGAGTTCCACTCTGGATTAATTATTTCTTTTGGAATATTCTAAAATTAAATTAAATTGATTTACTTGGGTTGGAAATTTAATAATGGCAACAGTGCTATAGAAACCCAATGCAATGCAACCAGCTAATGCTACCAGATGTTGGTTACATACCTATCTTAACTCAGAGCAAATGGACTTTACCATCCAACTCCAAGCGTCTGCACAGTGACGAAGAGCAAGGCAAGTTGCTATTGTCGGTCTAGTCATGATCTCAAAATTGGAGCAGCAAAGTTGGATAAAGATTGAAAGTGCCAGAGGTCATACTGTATGACAGTGTTGCCAAAAATCTTAGAGGCTTGTGTGAAATCTGCATTACCATATAGAACAATAGCAAGATGGGTAAAATCCTGCAATGAGGGATATGAAAATGAAAAAGAAGCTGTGTCCAGGTTGTCCCTGTACAAGTGAAGAACAAGTGAACCCCTAGGCCAGACCATAAACACACAGTATTACTATACATTTTTGGAACATAATTTGCAGCCGGCTTTGAGAGAAAAGCAGAAACACTTTCTGCAGAATCCTCCATCATCTTGAATGGCAATGCTAAAGTGCACATTGTACAATATGTAGCCACATTGTTCAGTTGCTGGGGCTGGGAAGTTCTCTTCCATCCACTTTATTCTCCAGACTTAAGCCCCTGTGACTTTGACTTGATCCCTAAAATGAAGGAATCACTGCACAGAAGGTGGTTCGGAACTATTCCAGATATTCCTCAGGCCGTAGACCACTCCATTTGGGCAATCAACCAAATAGGCTCTGCCAATGGCATCCTGCAACTTCCACATCACTGGCAACAGATTTTACATACTGCTCATGACTACATTGAAGAACAGTAAAAATCTGAAACATGTATGTTTATTGTACAGATTGTAATTTTAGGGTTGTAACTATTAAAATTCCAACCGTTGTATTTGTAATTATTAAATTTAACAAGAGATGGCAGCCTAACTAGCTATCTCCTGCCAAATTACTTAGTAATTATTTAGCCTTAAAGAGCCCAATAAACTTTTGAGAACACACCAGCTAACTCTTATGGTAAACTTTTTTACTTCCATTGACAGCATGAGAAACTCACAGTGTAAAATTATATTAGATTATTTGTAATTATTAAATTTAACAAGAATTGTGACAATATAGAAATTTAAAATTTTTATATAACAATTTTACAATTGACCCATAAAATATCAATGTTTTTCTCTCTGTATTCTTTATGGTTTTTAGAATAGAACGTTCCTATTGTCTAGCCCGAAGTTCTCCCAGATGGTGATCACGATCTTGACAGGGCACAAAAGGTGACGGAAACTGTCTTGGCAGCAGTTTACAAGGCACTAAATGATCATCATGTTTACCTTGAAGGTACCCTCCTGAAACCAAACATGGTAACTGCTGGTCAGAGTTGCAAAACTAAATACACACCCCAACAGATTGCCGAAGCCACGGTTACTGCATTACAAAGGACTGTTCCAGCTGCTGTTCCTGGTAATTATGTACTTTCTAAATATTTTTATATTTAGAGTAAACAGATTTTGTTAAATAATACTTGTTCCATAAGTTAAGAAGAAAATCAGACACTACTAATTATTTCACATATCTTGGCCAGGTGATGAACAGCACTCGGTTTTAAAAAGTTCAGGGGCCTCTTTTTAGTAAAGCAAGGCAAGCACTATTTGATTTACCTGNTTGATTATATTGTGCCATATAATATATTTATCATTTCAACTTTTAGATTTTTAAATGGCAGTGCTGCACCTGAATTATGGCAGGGAGGATTTAATTTTACACTTAAAATTGGACCAAAAATGATGAATTCTTGGAAGACATCCCTTGAAGTAAATAATAAAATTATGAATAAAACTGTACGAAATGTTTTAGGTTACATAAAAGGCAAAGTCGAATCAGGTAATTAATTTCATAATTCAAAATATACATCTGTATTATTTTATAATAACTATCTATTCTTATATAGATCGTTATGTCCTGATTGGTAGTCATAGAGATGCTTGGGTGCATGGTGCAGTAGATTCTGCTAGTGGTACTGCAGCACTTCTAGAATTAACTTATGTATTTGGCCAGTTGCTTAAAACAGGTCGGTGTATTTATAGTTTACATCAGTGGTTCCCAAACTTTTTTGATTCTCGGCACCCTTGCTAAATGCAGATTTTTCCAAGGTGCTCTATGTCAAATTCTAACAAGTACATTATAAAAATTCTAACGTTATAAAAGTTTTATAACATTTTGTGGTGCCCCTGTGAGGAAGTCACGGCGCACCTTTGGGAACCGCTGGTTTACATGAATCAGATAGATTAATATTCAGGATAAAAATATTTAATAAAATCTTTATGTAGGCTGGAGGCCAAGACGAACTATCATATTTTGTAATTGGGGAGCAGAAGAATTTAATCTTATGGGATCAACAGAATGGTTGGAGGTGTGTGCCTTTTACATTATATTTAAGTTTACAAGATTATTTATTATTTCAGAAAATTATTTTTTATTGGAAATTAAGTTTTAAAAGTAATATCTTTTCATGTAGGAAAATTTTAAAATACTTCACGGAAGAGCGGTAGCATACATAAATATTGATGCTATTGTAATAGGTAATATCTTTATATATTACAACAAAATTTATACTAATTATTTATTATTAATACAAATGTTCTGTAATAGGAAATACATCTCTAAATGTTGCTGCTTCGCCACTTTTATATCATGCAATTTTCAATGCAACAAAGGAGGTATGTTTTAACATTTATTGTTGAAGTATGATAAATTAGAAAATTATTATAAATGTACAATTACTTGAGTTTATAAAATGTTTTTCTGAATTAAAATTTCATAATCTTTTTAATTAGTAAAATGTAATTTTTTCTTATACCACAAGTGGAATTTTCTCTGACAGAAATTGATAGAGAAAAATAGAATGCATGTTAAATCACTTAATATGTTGCTTTCTTTTCTCATATTATTGATAAGTCTATTCAAAAATAATAAACTTGATTGCTTGTCATTTGTAACATGCTCATGCATTGATACTCAAAAATTTTGGAACATATATACCGTAAATCTTATTTATGCTGGGTTGAGACATATTAGTAGTCCAAATGTCTGGATATTTTTGTAGCTGTTTCTATCTTGTTTTTTTTAAATCATGTGGGATTATTATAGGTTCATTTTTCAAACATAAGTTAAATATATTTTTTAAAAAATTTCCAGAAGGACCCTGCCACATGTGACAAATATATTTCAAAATGTGCATTTCCACTTGTAAAAGTGGAAATGCATGTAAAATAGTAAATCTATTAATTATTGTGTTTCCTATATTAGCATACCTATCATACTTTTTTTTAAAATAGAATTAAACTTATTTCTTTTCTATCTAAATCTAAATTTTAATTTTTTCTTCCAAAGTAGGCACTTTACAGCTTTTCTTTGGCTTATCAGAGTTACCATCATCATTACCTTTGTGTTTTGGAGTTATGTTTTCAAAGTAATTAGTGTAAATGAAACAGAGATGGGGGACATAATGTTACAATGAGAAAGTTGAACAAAGATTGATGCTGATCCCAGTGTTCAGGACAAAACAAAGAAATGAGTTATGATAATGCTTAAAAGAATGTGTGTGACTGAGAGACCTCAAGCACCTTGGAAAATGGTGTGAATTCAGTGTTCAATTAAGAATTTTTATTTTATGTATTTTCCATTTTTTTCCCAGATTGCCAATAGCATAAACCTGTAACAGTGTGGTGAGTTCACATATGGCAGGGTCTTGCTGTATTTTATTCTATAAAATTTATTTATTTAATACAACAAATATTTTAAAAGCATTTTAGGGTAAACAATTTATAAAAATTTCAGTAAAACTTGTTTATTTTATATCAATTTTTATTATTTAAATAAGTTTCATTTAAATTTTTATATTTTTTTTGTATTTTACATTATTTTAATTTTGTAGACACTTTTTTAAAGTTGTACTGTGACAAATATTTTATAAACTGTTGTTCTTTTTGTATATACATCATTATATTTTTGTGCCTGAAGACGACAATTTGAATTTATCAAAAGTACTTTCCAATAATCTCTGTTTTTTAATAAAAAATTTTAAATTATAAATTCTTACAAGAAAATATATTAACACCTTATGACAATAAAGAGTCATATTTTACTTTTATTCACTTCATGCTTGTTTTTAAACTTAAAACTGCTATTATTTTGTTAATTAATCAGATTGCGAATATATGCCAGATTATAAGTTCAGTTTATGAATATAACTTTTATTCATATTTATATATTTTGATGAAATAATTATTTTATTCACTGCAGAAAGAAAAGATCTATAAATTGATTTAAGGGTTTGAAAGGTAATTGTCATATATCATTTTTATTTTATCTAAACAGTAAAAAATGTAAATTTTTCAATAATAATTTGACTTTCAGCCAAATGACAGCAAAATAGAAATTCAAAATATATCCATTTACAAATAAAGCATGAAATTAATTCTCTCTAACTTGATTAAGTAAGCTTGGTTCAATATAAATATAATGGGAAACCAAAGGTAATGCTGGTAATAGATAATTAGTTAACATTAAGTTAATTAATAAAACATTAATGAAAATAAACAGTTAATGTTGTAAAATCATAAATTAGTTAAAATCAATAGTTGCTGATTGATTTTATGGAAAATATCTAGATTAAAATAATTTATATATATATAAAGAATTTGAAAATGCAATGAAGAGAAAAGAGAAATCTTGTCAGAAAAATTATGCATTTATGCCAATATTTTTAAAATATCATATTACAAAATGGTATTACGTTTTTCCCAAAGAATCATTTTTGAGACTGCCTGAAAAGCATTGTAATTATAACAATCAATTTTATTAGATTGACAATTTGAAATTTCCTTCCTTCATTAATAAGATATAAATAAAATATAATTTTTTTTATTTTTAAGCATGGATTATTTTAAAATTTTGGTTAAAATATCAAGTTGTTTTCAATTAAGGTCTGATAATTTTACTGGACTAAAATGCATATTAGCAAAAATAAGAAGAATGGTACAATAAATAAATTTTTTTATTCATGTAATAAATAATTGGGTAATTTTTAATTAATAATAAAGTCATTTATTAACATGTAAATAATTTATCCTAGTTGAATATACAATTCACAAGCTAGAATTAGGTTTTGTTTAGTAATAGAATCACAAACTCCATTGTTGTATGGATATTTGGTATAGTTAAAATTAACCGATCCAGAATAAAGTTATAAATTCTATTAGAAGATAATATAAATAATCAGGATTATTTATTGGTTAAACTATTAGCATGCATACTGACATATATACAGGGTGTCTGATAAATCTGCAACCCCTCTTGTATAAAGACAACTTTTTAAATAGCCCCAGAATCAGACAGAAGTCAATCAATAAAGACAATTGTCTTCAAAATGTTTAACTAATTATTGAATAAAAGTTGACATTTCTATTTCTGATTTTATTTAAAGGATTTTTTTTTATTAATTAATACTTTATTTTGAGCCTATTTCTGTTCTTGTTTTAAATTATCAAAATTTCAATTCTGTTTGTGGTTAAAATGTGCTATGTTTAAAACTCTGCTGTGTTATGGTTGCAGGTCACTGATGCTCCTTATACATGATTTTTAACATTCAAATTTTATCTAGAACCAAAGACAGCATAGATTCAATAACTAATTTACTAAAATATATTTAATTTCTTAGAGAATTTAAGAGTAAATTATATGAAATGGTAAAACATTAGTATTAAAATTTGCATTTTTCGGTTTCAGTTTGTTATTTCATAATAAATGTAACCAGTGTTTTAGCTACTATTGATTATAGATTTACCTTCACATATTCAGGAATACATCAGTATTAAATATTTGTAATATCTGTAAATTCAGAGAATGCTTTGCCACATACAATTCATTTTTCTTACACTTAAAAATGGACAGTCTTCCATATTTAATGTGAAGAAGAAAACTATTACAGCAGTAAACTAGAAGTAGGGATATTAATTTCAATAGAGAACTCCATTATAATATATATTGTGTGTTTGTGTCTTCTATTGCTGTTTATTGTATTTAATAAACAATATCTTAGTTTTTACATATTGGTTTGTCATTTCTATTCACCATGAAAAATATCATTTGCAACAAACAAATACTGTAACTATTCGTTACCTTTGTACTCTGTATTCACAAGAATTTAGAATACTTTTGAAAATGAGTGTTTAGTATCAGTTGTTTACTATTGCATATGTTCTGTGAACAGTGGTTGTTTTCCTTTTGTTTTAATTCCTATCCCGACTTATATCAAGTACTAAATACATTATCCAGTATTATAGCATTGATTTAATTAGAGTTAATAAAATGGAAAAATCTGTAATTCAGAAATTTTGTAAGATAAAAGGATGTTGCAATTAAAGGAAAACATCACCATAATAATTCAAATATAAAAAATTATCATGGCTATTAAAGAGTAATTTATTATACTTTTTAATGTCTAATAAGAAACATTCCTTCTGGCAGCAGAAGGAATTTAATTCTTTCCACTGAGTAAACTGCAATCAAGTACTGTACAATACATAATTTGAAATGCTATATTTGATTATTGTTACTTGGCAGAGCAAGTTATGAATACTGAATGTACAGTACAAGTATCAATGCATATCCAATATCCATTACACAAAAATAATGATTAGAATGATAATGAAGTACATTGTTGAATTTTATTTGAGTATGAGTAATGAAGAAATATAGTGCAAAAAGTTGGATTTAAAGTGTTTATTAATTTCTTAAAGACATTTTAATAAATAAATTTTAAAAAATCTTTCTAGTTTAAATAACTTATCAATTGATACATGATTTTTATCAGGTGTATAATCCTAATGTTGAAGAAGTCACTAATGGTATATTAAGAGTTTATGATTCATGGAAGCTGAGTTTTCCTCTGCAGCGTAACATATCCAGATTGTTATTTCCGGAACAAGTGACCGGAGACGAGTCATTTTTAGATTACGATTTTTTCCTGGATCCCGAGCCGGAACTTCCGTCGAAATTACTTGATAATTTTTTGAAGTCCGCTATGTTAAAAATTCGCCCAAAGTAAATTCTTTATTGTTATTGTTAAAAATAATAATGATTTAACCAAATAATAAATTTTTCTTTTTTTTCACAAAGCATCCAAACACTTGATGGCAGAGGATCGTACTCCACGTTTATTCGAGCTGGAATTCCTGCCGTAGATATGGCATTTATACACGACACTAGAGTAAGCATACCATGAGCTTAAATTTAATTATTATTTAATGTTGAATTAAATTATAAAATATATTTCTAGCCTCCAAATGCATTTTATCCGCTGTATCATACTGAATATGACGTATTCGATGCTATCGAAAAATTTGTCGATCCAACATTCAAGGTAGTAAAGAATAAAAATTATTAATTAAATTATCCAAAAATGAAGGCATTTGGTATCTTTTATATAGTTGAAATTAAAAATTGTTTATATATTTTTCAGCTTATAGTCAGATTTGACAAGTTAAATTATTTCTAATTTTATTTGTTAGTACTATTCTACTATAGTCAAGATTTTAGGAGAACTGTTAAGAGATTTATCAGATTCTCTGTTTTTACCTTTCAACCTGTTTGATTATGCTCAAGTATTACATGATTTTTATCTTAACCTTCAAAATGAGGAAACAATTAAACATTATATTGACTTTGGTAAGTGTGTAGTTATTATTCTCTTTGGAATTTTCAAACAATAAACGAGACCTTTTTTCAGGTCTTTTGAATTCCTCGGTTTCTAATTTTACCAATGCTGCATTGAAATTTCATACCATGCAAGAATCATCTGATTTATCAGAGTGAGTGACTGTCTAACCAAGTTAAAATTTTTATGACCTAAAGATTGGAAATAAAATAAAGGAAAGATTTTAAACTATATTTTATAAATAAAATTTTTCTAAGTGATTGCAATATAAATCTGTTTTTAGCCCCATGGTGATTCGACGAATTAACGACCAGTTACTGTTGCTGGAAAGGGCATTTTTAGATCCAAACGGATTTTCTCGTTATGTTCTCAAAAGGTAACAGATGCTTATTTTTCTTTTAAGAAATTAATCTGTATAGATTCATTTCTTAAAAGATTAAAAAATTCTTCAATTTGTTTTTCAGAAATCTGTTTCCCTCGCAAGGTAGCAATGCATACGACGAAACTTTCCCAGCAGTCATGAATTATTTCATTGACGTGCTGCAGAAAAAAGAATCCATTTCTCAAGAGGATGTCAGAATTTTATATTCTTTCTTAGTCTTGACAATTCAAAGTGCTACGGCAATCATAGAAGAGGTCGTGTGACGAAGTTCTTCGGTGCCCTTTCTTTGTTTGGTGTTTTAATTAGATGTAAATATCAGTTTTCTTAGACGATGTGTTGCAGCTCAACTTCTGAAAATATATCGACAGAAATGTCGACATCATTCTGCAGAAGACAATCTCGCTAAATTCTCAGATGTAAAATTTGAATCTATTTAGTATGTTTTATTTTTATGGAATACTCTTTTTAAGTTTAAGATTTTAAAACATAAATTTTGTCCTAGTCATCTTGATTGGTCAATCTCAATTTCATTTAGCATCAGTTGCTCATAAAAGGGGGGAAAATCTCTGCAGGCAAGAAGACATTCCAAAGAAGTATCCGTCCACTTTTCTCAATCATTAGATTAAAATAACATTATAATTGTATCATGTGCATATCATTCTATTGAGAAATTCTTTTTAAGATTTTTGTGCGCTCAAAGCAGTAAATTTTAATTTCTGCTAACTTATTGTATTGGATTTGATATTATAGTATGTGTATTTTTTGTGTTTTAAATATTTTTAGATTTTAATTATATTAAAATGTCTCCATATTTGAATAATTGTACAAGTGACATTTTATTTACTTATTTACAAAATTATAGAATTTTTATTAAAATTTGACAAAATTTCTAAAAATATATTGCCTTTATTTAATTACAAAAATTCACTTTTTTCCGTACATTTTATTTTAGTTTCTTACAGCCTACAAGTTTATTATAACTTTGCAAAAATTATTACTTAACCTTGTATTTATAATTGATAGTTTGATAGTTATGCGGGTTGAGTGTATCCAAACCAAAATTCCAAAATCTGCAAGCTTGTTTTCACAGTGGGGAGCACTTTGGAATAGAATTACCATTCACCATGCCGTGGAAGATAATTAAATAGCAACGTGCAACCATGGTGCACTGCCAAGATATTCAACAATTTACTTAACCCATAAGTGTGAGCTGTGAATACTTATATAAACAACCCAACAGAAAATATCCTTATGCTGGTTTCTCACTTACCAGGTGACGGCTATGCGATTGTGCCAATTTGTAGAGCAATGAAATCGTTGTTGTATGTATGTGCCTTCACAATTTGCACAAAATGGAAAGCAATTTGCAATGAAGTATGAGAATTTTTTAAAATGGCAGCAAAACTTTCAACTGTAAATTTAAAAACACAAAGCAAAGATTTATATTTAGCAAATATTAGATTAAAAAATTATTTTTTGCACCTTTTCAAAATTTCCACACATCTTATGTAGTGCTAAAGATGATGGGTAAAAATATGATGTCATGTACACCTGGAATTATGGATGCTGGAACAGAATTGCTATGTGAAAATATACATCTCACTACTGTCGTCAAAGTACTCAAAGGCAATTTTACTGTGCATGAACAGTGACTAAGGCAATTGAATCACTTCACAATAGCATTAAGCGGAGAGCCAGCATTAAAGTCAAAAACGTCTGATAGTGATAATTCTCCAATTCTATTGTATCTTGTATTCCAAAATCCAAAACATTCTTGGTCCCAAGTATTTCCATAGATACTATTTCAAAATTTTTAAAGTTTATATATTCTTGATTAAATCTAAGATACTCAAATTTATTTAAGTAATTATATTCTTGTAAGAATCCTTTAGAAAACATAAAATATAAGTGACGAGTCCTAGAGTATAAAGTTCAAGTTTCCCTCCAGATTTTAACAAAATTTACAAGGTAAGTGCATTCTAATAAATTATATTATTGGAATAATATATGAAAAAACAAAAAATACGTTGAGTATTTAATGCGACAAATTTTGAAAATATCCAAAATTAGCTCATAAAAGTTCAATGGTAAGATACACTTCAAAGTAATAAAACATGCCAAATTATTATTGAACTTAGGGACGACAATTTGGCATGCTGCAAATAAGGTTACCACCAAAGATTTGAGAGGTTAAATGCTGTTCTTGCAAATCTGAATTTCTGAAATAGTAAAGAGGGATTCTAAGAATAACTATTCATTTTTTTAAAGTATCTTAAAACATGTTTGACGAGATTATAAACTGGCTCGTGATCTTAATTTTATTTTTAAAGTACCGTATACTCCCGATTGTGGAGGCACGGATAATCCGCAAGTATGTTTTAATGAAAGCTAAATCAATTTTTCTTTTGCTTTTAATTTCATATTAAAATTTAATATAATAGTTTATTTTTTACAAAATTAAAAGACAAAGTCGTTCTAAAAATATATTTCAGACGATTACCATTTTTACAAAGTGTTCTAGAACAAAGTACAGACAGCTGGACCTTCCTTTTTAGGCTACACAACTGCCTATATTTAAAAAGTTCCTTAAAAACACAAAAAAACCAATAAATATTAAGAAAAAATCTTCTTTAAAATTGGAATGGTAAATCTTACGACGTCTTGTTACTTCATCTTTGTCCATTGGGTTTCTGGCTCTTTGGCTCTTTATCTACTGAGGATTAGCGCTGACAAATGTAGATAGTTTATATATTATGTATAAAATATTAATCAGTTACCAACATCAAAGCTGTAGATGTGAAATGAGTTGAATAAAACTTGATATACACAGAAAAATTTATGGAACTAGTTTTGCAGTTCACTACAAATTTCTTGTATTATTAGCCAAGAATGAAGGCTGCCACTAGATGTAAAACGACTTTAATTTTGCTATATTAATGGTTATTGATAAGGAAACGATGTAAAATTGAAGAAAATAAATTAGTTTGAAGCTTATGCCATGCTTATGAAAAAAAATAAAGCCTTATTGTTCAAGAATCAACTGCACTTACTGTACTCGTTAGCCATTTAATTTATGCCTCAACTATCCAGTAGTTGAGTAGTATTTATGCCTCAACTATCCAGTATTAAAATAAAAAAAATCTGCATTGTTAACTCTTGCTAATATTTGCATTCCTGACATAAATTTTTATCAAGACATAAGTATACATAGATAATCTGTACACAGATAGTCGAGAGTATACTGTATTGAGACCCATTACAGTAATGGATCCTGATGCCACATTACGATACTAACAAACACAATTATCATGAGATAGTCTGAAAATCTGTCTAGCCATTGATTGAGATGTATGTCATGTAATGTCATGCCATGAAACATCACAAAGTTTGTTTCATGGCATGACATTTGTTTCAAGTCTCCTTACTAATAAATACGCCAAGAATCAATTTGAAGACTAAATCAAGACTCATTAGTCCCAAATTTCAGTCAGGTCACAATGTTCTCGACTCCAATTCACTTGGTCATTTTTTCTGGGAAGTCAAAGGGGGACAAATCAACTAACTTGTATACAGTGCTGAGCGACACCTCAAAATTCACTCACTATCCATAGAAAACTAAGTTGCTGTACTGATGTGATGACCAGCATTTTGTACTAGATAAGTCTTTCTCATTGATATGACTTGGACATTTGGCACAAGCTCTTCTGAAGATAGTTTAACTGGTTCAAATGATTATAAAGTTAGTTTACAAAGTCAACAATTAACACTTATCATCTGGCTGCTTGTCATGTGCTGAGCTTTTCTACTTAGCTCTATCATCTATTTCTGTGAAAAGAAATAGATAAAAAAAATGATTTTGTCAAGAGCTCTATGATACAATGTGAGATGAAGTAGTGGCTCAAGTTTACTGCATACAAATCAGTTCAGAATGAACTTTTCATAGAATAGTTATACAGATTTGAACTTTGTATGATTATTACACAACGGTCTTTTGCACATTCACTTACCTTATTTAATAGATTAGCTATATTAAGTCAGCATATGTCTAAATTATTGGACTATCAATAAAAATCTATTTCATTAACATTAATTTTAGGACAAAATATTAAAAAATATATTTTATTGAAGGTGTCAAAAGTGTCAAAACAATAATAATGATCTAATAAGATCATTATTATTGTTTTGAGTTTCATCCAAAACATGTCAAGTTGATAATTATTGATTTTACACCAAAAATTATCAACTTTTATTTTAAACTTGTAAAAAAGATTGTTAGAAGAAAATTGTGTTATTGCTATTATATGTAATGGATTGCCAACTAGATGTGGCTTCAGAGCCACATCTGGAAACAACATTGGTAAGAGCCAGTGACATCTGTCATCACAATACTAAATGTAAGATAAATAAGATAAACAAACTTTATTTAGATTGTTGTCAGTCAGATTCCTTTTTTTCCTTCTGAACAACACTAATGACATCCTGTTCAAGTGGTGCATGTTCCTTTTCTTCCAAACATCACACTGTAGATGACATACCCCATTATATGGAAGAACAGATCACAGGTGGAGGCATTCTTACAATGCATGAATGATAATCCGTATGAGCTCACAACACTAATTGACCAGAAGTGAAAGGGAGGTACAGTATATTTCCTAGATATACTCATATGGAAAACATTGGACAGAGGGGTAACATTCAAACCACTGTATACCACAAACCTGAAATTGAGCCAATTTACTTTCCAGCAGACTCCCATGACCTGTACTGCTACAAAATAGCAGCATTCATGGTGCTCATCAAGAGAGTGCATATCCACTGCACCAGCAAGGTGGACATGCAACGTGAGATAGCAACCAGTCATGGCTTTCCTATATTCTTAATACTGTCTAAGTGATTCATTGAAAAAATTAATAGTAAGCTTGTGGCTACTGGTCAGGAACAACACAACCAGAAGAGAAAGGAGGAAAAAAAAGACCACTCGGTGGTAAGGACCTCATTTTAACTCCTATATATAACCAGAGAGTCTCAAGGGATGCAGTGTTGCATACAAGTGAAATTTGATCATTTTCAATATACTTAGCAATGCAAAGGATCCATTAAATAAGAATAGAGTCCCTGGAGTATGTGCCATTCCCTTTAGGGATGACAGGTCTGGAAGAGATTTGATCCACATCGGATAGCAATTGTTTGGTGGAGCCAAATGTCTTAAGCAGCACAAATATGCCATTCAGCATGGAAAAATCATTGCTGCTCTCTCAATCAGAAGGGATATTGTCCCATTATTTCAACAAGCCTCCATGTTAAAAACATTTGTACGTGGAGAACATGTTAGAGATGGAGGCCCTTGAAATTTTCAAAGCAAACAGAGCAGGAAACTGCATTAACAAGGAAGAGAGAGCAATCTAAAAAGTATATCTGCCATGCTTTGACTGCCAGCCTTATGAACCACATATCCATGCCTTATATAATGTGCACATGACAGCATATTTTAAAAAATGTATTGGACTCAAATGATTCTGTTATTTGAATTTTCTTGATGAAGACCTACAGTACCTGGTGGAGATTTTAAACTCCTTGGAACCAGCTGGACCACTGCCTCATAACATAGTGCCATATGTTGGAGCACCAGTAATGCTTTTGTGAAATTTGGATTACCAAAGTTAATCAAATCACCTGAAGCATATTTGTTTCTTTTTGGTCAATAAATGCACATTTTAGTTACTAGGACCATTGTTTTTATCACACTCAATTCCACACCCTCTCAAAAATCCGAGCAATGCTGGACACATATGACTAGTTTGACATCACATCACCTTTGTAATTTGTGAGGTTAGTGAGATAATTTTGACAACTGCTGGACTAACATTTTCACCTACTCTCAGTACATTTGGCAACACATTTGTTTTTAGATGCCAATATTGGTCCCTCATATATCCTGTTCTGGTTTATGTATATAGTAGAGCGTCGTTTATCTGAAAGCTGATCAACCGAAATGTCAGTTAACTGAAAGTTTCCAGTCGGACTGTGTTGTGCTGAATTGAACATTTTTTATACTAAATTAACTTCCAAAATATAATTTTTTTGTTTTTATATTTATTTTGTTTGTACAAAATAAAGAAATAATTTTTAACGATACAATAGCCACGATTATTATTTTAAAAAATTTACGTTAGGCTTAACATCGAAAATTCAATGCAAAGCAACACACAACAGAGAAAAATTTTGACATGGGATAAGTTAATATATTTTTTCGTACATAATCGATTATCCGAACAACTTGTCCTCAATTGATTTGGATAAATGACACTCTACCGTAATAGTAAGTGTTATCAAATTAGTATCTAGTTCTTCAGTGAATTTACCATCAACGAGATGCAAAAGACAGATCTGCAGAGAATTTTGCTGTCTCCCAATAGATGGATCCTCATCTAAAGGGACAACTTTTTAACATGATTCCACAGTGATGATGTCTTTAGGCAGGTGTTGCAGCAAGCTAGCAACAATTAGCAATTATTATTTTTGCCAACAGACCGCACTACCCCAATATTTTGGGGTAGTGTGTAATTTTAGCATCCTTTATAGCTTAGTGTCAATAATTAGCAATAATGATATTTCAAAAAATTTAATTCTTAAGAGACTCAAAAGATAGATCCTTTACAGTTTCATCCTTTATAAAGTGGCTTAGAATTAATGATGATAATTATATTAAAAATTTTTAATTGTCAAGAAACTTCCATTATGGATCTAAAAGAGGAATAGCAATATAAATAGTCTTTCCAGTTACATTTTATATTTGTCTGCCATTTCAATGATAATTATAACCAAATATTAATACATAGATTTAGTTAATAGTTTTTTTAGAACATATTAAAAAAATGTCATCATTATTTAAATGGAATGTTTGCATTGCTTTGAATGAATATAATGTGAAATTATTAAGACAAGAAGTTATTTCCAAAAACTACTACTAGTTTTGAAAATTTTTGTATTAATTTTAATGACAATATAGTTGCTTTGTTACTTTGCCATATTCTAAACATAAAATTATGTAATAGTAATTTTGCAAGCACTTAGGCTACATTCTATTAAAAAGGAATGTTTCAGTCCACATTTGAAATGTCTTTTTTTTATGAATGAGTGAATTATTTGTAAATTATTCCGACACATCAATATGAACTGCTGTACACAGGTGAATTTTTTAGGGATATATTCAAAATATCACATCTGCTCAAATGAACGTCTGATGTTATTAGAACTGTTTAACTTTTACTTATTTAATAAAAAAATTATTTATAAAATTTGAATGTATGTCATAATTTAAACAATTTATGCAAGCAGTATTTTATTTTACTTATGTACAAAAATTACAAGCTGTATTTAAAATTTATCAAAATATATAAAATATGTGAAATCTCTGTATTTATTCTTTCTTCCATTTGAAAACCCACAGCAAACTAACACTATTTGGTACAAATGATAAGATTACACAATGTCTTATTATATTTCTTGATTGATAAATATATATATTTTTTTAATAATTACTAATAAATATGTAATTCTACACACAAATCTAAATTTGTATGTAGATTAATATATACATACATACACACTATCCGGTTCCATGTTTGCTAGTTTCAAAACACCCTTTATGGAAAAATGGTGCAAAGTCATAAATGTCCTGTTTACAGAGATTCTGTCTAGTGTGTAGAGGACAGCCTTCAACTTGCATACAAATCAAAATAAGTTTATTAAGATACACCTAAATAAAAAGAAAATATAAACAGAAGTTCATTGAGTTAAGTTTTCATCCTATGAATTCATCAAGTCATACCTCTAAATGATTTCGCCTTTCTTCAACTACACGTTCAGATTTGCTTCCAAATATTTTCCTAGGGGGGAAATATGGTAATTCTACTTCTAGCCTCCAAATGCATTTTATCCGCTGTATCATACTGAATATGACGTATTCGATGCTATCGAAAAATTTGTCGATCCAACATTCAAGGTAGTAAAGAATAAAAATTATTAATTAAATTATCCAAAAATGAAGGCATTTGGTATCTTTTATATAGTTGAAATTAAAAATTGTTTATATATTTTTCAGCTTATAGTCAGATTTGACAAGTTAAATTATTTCTAATTTTATTTGTTAGTACTATTCTACTATAGTCAAGATTTTAGGAGAACTGTTAAGAGATTTATCAGATTCTCTGTTTTTACCTTTCAACCTGTTTGATTATGCTCAAGTATTACATGATTTTTATCTTAACCTTCAAAATGAGGAAACAATTAAACATTATATTGACTTTGGTAAGTGTGTAGTTATTATTCTCTTTGGAATTTTCAAACAATAAACGAGACCTTTTTTCAGGTCTTTTGAATTCCTCGGTTTCTAATTTTACCAATGCTGCATTGAAATTTCATACCATGCAAGAATCATCTGATTTATCAGAGTGAGTGACTGTCTAACCAAGTTAAAATTTTTATGACCTAAAGATTGGAAATAAAATAAAGGAAAGANGAGTTAAGCATTGCTTTTCCGAGTGTTTGTGCTATACTTCTTTTTTCAGTTTTGTGATTTATATATTTAATCAATATGGCATCAAAGAGAGAAAAAAGTCATAGTGGCATTAGAAAACGACAACGCAATATAAACGACAATGCGCTATCGCATTTGAGAAAAATTTTGATTAAAAGAGTAAGACAATCCACTTTAGATCAATTTCTTGTTCCTTACACAAAGAGTTTGTTTCTTTGTTAAATTATGACAATGCAACACTTGGGCAATCTGACTAGGGGGAATGCTTTCTGGGAAGTGTTTTTAAGGGAAACTGGCCCCTATTTAGGGGTTACAGATGTGGAGAAATCCCGGAGAACTCCACGTGGCCAGCCCGTCTGAGCGAGGTGCGAACCCACGAACGAACTCCCCGTGTTCAAGGTACGAAGACCACTTAGCCACTGGTGGGGTTTTTACCGAAAGAGACTTCGATTCTAAGAATCTTCCGATGAAGTGCTACCCATCATTTTTTTTTGGAGGGATTCCCTTTCTAAGCATTAAGGTTTGTATATCTCCACTTTTCTGCCAGCAACTACAACAAATGAAGGTATGTACAGTGCTATTTTATTAAACAAAGTTTACATGTTTATTGCTGTAATGATAGATACTACGTTTTCTTACATTTTCATCAAAGAAAATTATTGTATATTACAAATGACAAAAATTTTGGAGACTAGAACAGATTAATTGCATTTGCATTAATTTCTATGGGAAAAATTGTTTCGGTTAACAAACAATTCAGTTAATGAACGGAGTCGCGGAATGGATTAAGTTCGTTCCACTGTATAGCTAAAAAAAAAATAAACCAGCTATTTAGATTTCTAATTGAATTTCTCTGAGCATATTACAGATGAAATTCTAAATTTATTGTTCCATTTTCATTATTTAAAATTGTATAAGGCATGTTTAAAACTAGAAAACTTGTGATTTACATATGTATAAAAAGCAAATTTTCATACAAGATTATGTAAGATTAAGTAAAAACTATTTATGTACACTTAGAAAATGAATAATGTATATACAGTAAAACCTGTCTATGGTGACCACCCACGGTTCCTTCAAAAAGTGGTCTTTTAGATAGATGGTCGTCCAATACAAGTGGTCCTGTAATAACGTATTTCCGTACGTATTTTGCGCACTTTTTAGCCTTTCTACTAAGCAAAACTCGAGATGAGTAAAAATAAGCAAATTTTTTCAACGATAGGGCTATATTGGTATTATATTTTATTCTTATCGGATACTGTAACTTGATTTACAAGAGTTGTCGTGATTTTATAAGACAGATTTAATACCAATATTTTAAAGATTAATACAATAGTTGCATTTTCTCGATTATAATGCACACTTTCTTTTTTCCGATTTAATTCAACTTGGTTCTTTTCGTTTGCTCCTCAGTTATGTGTACTACGTCATCGATATACAAGCGCATAGTATCTCTACATCACTTTGGTTTTGGTATTCGTTAGTTTAATCTTATTTTAACTTTATTAAATAATAAAAAATACAGTATTTTTATTTTCTTAAGTACAATAAGAAAAATAATTAATAATAAAATCGTTTTATTATTATGTCTCATTATACGATTTCATTACATTCCGCGATTGTCATTGTGGAATCGAAAAAGGAAGGTTGCTCGTAAAACTGATTTTTGCATTAATGCGTTTATTGTTTTTTGAATATTTTGTGTGCAAAAATTACTTGGATATTATTTTTCTAAAAATATCGTGGAAATAATGTACATTGATGCATAAACTATTTATCACACATGCACTGTATATGAGCTTCAAAAAAATAATAGTAATAATTAAATAAAATAAATTTTATCAAACGATGAGATCAACCGATTAATTGTATTGTGCACAATATTTTATACCCCTAAGGAAAATACTGTAGGTGTACGGTAAAATAAATTTCGTTTTCCCATTTAAACTTTGTCACTAATTGCCGTTGTGATAAACCATTTTCACTTTATCTGATAATTTTCACACGATCTTCTAACGACAGCACTTTGCATTTCTTTCGTTTTTCAGACATTTTCCAACAAACTGAAATGAATTTCCTTTGTT